GGCAGTTTTGAAAGGGTTATAAAATATATATGAAATTGGGAGGTGCCATTTAGTGCCGACAAATGCAGGGATTATTGCCTGAACAATGACTATAGAGTTAGCAGACATTAGGCACACAAAGTCGAAATTGTGAAATCTGAATGTGAAAAGATACATTTATTAATGTATATATGCATGGCGTAAGATAAATAAGATAGTAGATTTCATATATAATTTTTTTAATAATAGGACAGCTTCAGGGCAATGATGAATATACACCTAAAGATATACTCAACGTCTTGGTATATATGTATTCTCTAGTGTTTCCTGTATTCCTGGAGAATATTCATGATATAAGAATGAAGGTAACTGCAGAAGGCATTTTGACCCATATGAGGCAGCTTCTATTTATATCCTACCAATCTCGTTCAGTTTCAGACTAAATCAGACTTCCTTGTTGGTCAGTAAGCTATTGTGGTTGGCGTTAATAATTTCCGGAGCCTGATAGGCATTAACCTCGACACCAAATTAAAGGTGAAATATAATACTATTGTTCAGCTATATCTTGTCCGTGTTTGACCTATTGAGATTAAGCAATACGATTTTGGACAAAATTTCCTCTTAAACGTGCACAGATAAGGATGATAAAGTTAATCCCCAGGGAATTCAAAAACTCCCAAATATAGTTTAATTTACTTATAAGCTTAATTGACATTATTTATACATATGGATGAGTTTGGTTCGTAATAAAGTGGAGCAGTCTCGCATTACTCAATAGGCATTCCCTAGTATAATAATTTTTGTTATTTCCTTATTTCCTTATCAAAATCAATTTTCCTTATCAATTTCCTTATCAAAATTGGGGATATAGTTGCGGAAGAAACTCGAGGGTGATGACAGTGACTGGAGGCCTTGGCAACAGTGTGTCTATGCGTGAAACAAAGGAAATAAAACGCTTGGGCTTATAATCCAACCTGACCTCCTACGAAGAACGTCGCTTTTCGCTCGAATGCTTTACCTAAGGCCACAAATCGTCGTATTAAAAAATTGGAAAATGATGCACTATCCCATTTTCTGTTTTAGGTCCTCTGGTAGGTTAGGATAAGGGCACTTTAAATTGACCGTTTTCTTGACGTTGGGAAATATTAGATGGACGGGCTGTATAATTGGGTGATAAATGGACCCACACATCGTTCTCCATTTATCCTTGACTCCGGCAACCAGGAGGCCTGGTCAACGACCGGGCCGCGGGGACGCTAAGCCCCGGAAGCACCTCAAGGTAACCTCAAGGTAAGGTAACCTGGTGAGGTTCTACTTACACTTCCGCGGCTCTTTCTGGTCAGCTTATTACCGTGTGGGACATCGATTAACGTAGGGTGATTAGACTGGTCCCTGGGGCCAGATTCACGAAGCTGTTACACAAGCACTTACGAACCAGGGGCCAGATTCACAAAGCTGTTACACAAGCACTTACGAACCAGGGACCAGATTCACGAAGCTGTTACACAAGCACTTACGAACCAGGGACCTGATTCACGAAGCTGTTACACAAGCACTTACGAACCAGGGACCAGATTCACGAAGCTGTTACACAAGCACTTACGAACCAGGGACCAGATTCACAAAGCTGTTACACAAGCACTTACGAACCAGGGACCAGATTCACGAAGCTGTTACACAAGCACTTACGAACCAGGGACCAGATTCACGAAGCTGTTACACAAGCACTTACGAACCAGGGGCCAGATTCACGAAGCGGTTACACAAGCACTTACGAACCAGGGGCAAGATTCACGAAGCTGTTACACAAGCACTTACGAACCAGGGACCAGATTCACAAAGCTGTTACACAAGCACTTACAAACCAGGGACCAGATTCACGAAGCTGTTACACAAGCACTTACGAACCAGGGACCAGATTCACGAAGCTGTTACACAAGCACTTACGAACCAGGGGCCAGATTCACGAAGCGGTTACACAAGCACTTACGAACCAGGGGCAAGATTCACGAAGCTGTTACACAAGCACTTACGAACCAGGGGCCAGATTCACGAAGCTGTTACACAAGCTCTTACGAACCAGGGACCAGATTCACGATGCAGTTACACAAGCACTTACGAACCAGGGACCAGATTCACGAAGCTGTTACACAAGCACTTACGAACCAGGGACCAGATTCACGAAGCAGTTACACAAGCACTTACGAACCTGGGGCCAGATTCACGATGCAGTTACACAAGCACTTACGAACTAAGGGCCAGATTCACGAAGCTGTTACACAAGCACTTACGAACCAGGGGCCAGATTCACGAAGCTGTTACACAAGCACTTATGAACCAGGGACCAGATTCACGAAGCAGTTACACAAGCACTTACGAACCAGGGACCAGATTCACGAGGCAGTTCCACAAGCACTTACGAACCAGGGGCCAGATTCACGAAGCTGTTACACAAGCACTTACGAACCAGGGGCCAGATTCACGAAGCAGTTACACAAGCACTTACGAACCAGGGGCCAGATTCACGAAGCAGTTACACAAGCACTTACGAATCAGGGGCCAGATTCACGAAGCAGTTACACAAGCACTTACGAACCAGGGGCCAGATTCAAGAAGCAGTTACACAAGCACTTACGAACCAGGGACCAGATTCACGAAGAAGTTACACAAGCACTTACGAACCAGGGGCCAGATTCACGAAGCAGTTACACAAGCACTTACGAACCAGGGACCAGATTCACGAAGCAGTTACACAAGCACTTACGCACCATGGGCCAGATTCACGAAGCAGTTACACAAGCACTTACGAACCAGAGGATTCACGAAGCAGTTACACAAGCACTTACGAACCAGGGTCCAGATTCACGAAGCAGGTACACAATCACTTACGAACCAGGAACCAGATTCACAAAGCTGTTACACAAGCACTTACGAACCAGGGGCCAGATTCACGAAGCTGTTACACAAGCACTTACGAACCAGGGGCCAGATTCACGAAGCTGTTACACAAGCACTTACGAACCAGGGGCCAGATTCACGAAGCTGTTACACAAGCACTTACGAACCAGAGACCAGATTCACGAAGCGGTTACACAAGCACTTACGAACCAGGAACCAGATACACGAAGCAGTTACACAAGCACTTACGAACCTGTACATCTGTTCTCAATCTTTAGCGGCTTTGTTTACATTTATTTACTTACAACAGTTAATGGGGGTTCCGAAGCGTCATAAAGCTGTTTATAACAATAACAATGACGCTGCGTTATTCGTCTTTTGTTCTTATCAAATTGTGTCGAGCAGATTGGGCTGGAAATGGTCATCTGGAGGTGTTCCCATCGTGTGACGTCGAGAGCGGTGCCTGTTTGGTGCAGAGCCGATATCGGTGGCCTGTACGAGCAGTCTTTACTGGTACTTATGTTTAAAACACACACACACACACACACACACACACACACACACACACACACACACACACACACAAACACACACACACACACACGCATCTGAAGAAGCATATAATGAAACTGGAAAAGGTTCAGAGGTTTGCAACGAGACTCGTCCCAGAGCTACGAGGGATGGGGTATGAGGAGCGCCTGAAGGAACTGTGCCTTACGACACTAGAAAGAAGAAGGGAGAGGGGGGACATGATAGGAACGTATAAGATACTCAGAGGGATTGACAGAGTGGACATAGACGAAATGTTCACACGGAATAGTAACAGAACGAGGGGACATGGATGGAAGCTTGAAACTCAGATGAGTCACAGAGATGTTAGGAAGTTTTCTTTTAGCGTGAGAGTAGTGGGAAAATGGAATGCACTTCAGGAACAGGTTGTGGAAGCAAATACTATTCATAATTTTAAAACCAGGTATGATAGAGAAATGGGACAGGAGTCATTGCTGTAAACAACCGATGCTCGAAAGGCGGGATCCAAGTGTCAATGCTCGATCCTGCAGACACAACTAGGTGAGTACAACTAGGTGAGTAAACACACACACACACACACACACACACACACACACACACACACACAACATGGGTAATAGCACGAATTCCTGAGGCACTCCGCTTGTTACCCGATTATTTGTCCGATCCCTTGCCTTTCGACACGACTCTGATTTCACTCTGATGTCTTGGTTAGGTGCTGTTCACCCCTCTCCGTCCTTGTTCCCGGCTCCGGTCCGTCTGCGGGTCTCAGGGTCGGGGCTGGGTTTAGTTAGGACCGAGACTCGGGCGGTTTCAGGGGATGCCCCGTTCAGGTCGGGGACGGAGGTTTTCGAGTTTGTTCTTCTGCGGCCAGATTCACGAAAGCACTTACGCAAGCACTTAGGAACGTGTACATCTTTCCTCAATCTTTGACGGCTTTGGTTACATTTATTAAACAGTTTACAGGCATGAAAACTTCCCATTCAACTGTTGTTATTGTTATAAACAGCCTCCTGGTGCTTCGGAGCTCATTAACTGTTTAATAATTGAAAACAAAGCCGCTAAAGATTGAGAAAAGATGTACAGGTTCGTAAGTACTTGCGTAAGTGCTTTCGTGAATCTGGCCCCTGGGTCTTACCAGCGGCCCTTTTTTTACTGCCTTTCCCATGGACTCTTCCTTTTCTTCAAGGGCTCTCACTCTTATTACAATGCTCCTTCCTTTATTCCCACCAGCTTCTCAAGTTTGTGTTATAGTCTCTTATGCAGAATTGTTTTAAAAGATATTTTGAGACTCCCCCAAAAAATGCAATATACTCATCCTTCTCTAGTGTTTATTATTTTTGTTATTTTATCATAGAACTCTATTAGGCTCATTTGGCATGATTTTACTACAGATTTTGCTTGATTGTTTTGATAATTACTTCCCTAAAGGCGTGATGAAGTCTGTTGATATGCGTAATAATCTCTAGATATTTCACCAGTTGTATTCTAATTATCATTTCGAGTATTTTATAAGGAACACTTTTCAATTAAACTGGTCTCTAGTGAAGTGACACCTCCCTATCCCTTTTCATGTATAATGAAACTACATATTTCAGCAACTACAAATTCATGTATAATGAAACGACATATTTCAACAAGTACAAATTCATGTATAATGAAACTACATATTTCAGCAACTACAAATTCATGTATAATGAAACTACATATTTCAGCAACACATATTCTTGCAGTTGCTGAAAGTTAATAATCAGAGAGATATTCATAGTACTTCACAGTTGTACAAAGACAATCTACAACCACTGATATGATTTTTTTTTTATTAATATAACATGCCTTGTGCTTGCTTGCCCTTCAGTGAAAAATCTTTCAGGTGTAAACAAAGCCTTATGTTGGATTATGCGGTAATTAAGTCTTTCCTAGTTTGCCCTATTGACAGCTTTAATAGCAAAAATTCTACCTGATAATTTGTTAATAATACTATTATCAAAATACACTGTAAATAATATTATCTATTTTACATAGAATGAAAGTGAAAAACATGACAAAGGTCAAATGAAATATCCAGAATAACCAGATAAAAAATATTTCAGAAGCGGACAGATCTTAACTACTGTATTCATGCATATATTAGACATTCTTAGATTGAATTAGATGTGTATTCTTCTTCTTCTTTACTACTGTTCTGTCTTGAGTCATGGGTCACAGTAACTATGGCTCAGTAATGAGTCATTATTTATTGTTCAAAATGCACTTTCAATGTCAGTGACCTCGGTGATGATGTCATGACGTCGTTGTTACTGTGTCAGTGACATCGTTACTATTATGTCAGTAACCTCGTTAGGTTTAGATAGATGTTCCAGTGATGCCAGCATGAATATTATATCAGTGCTTCTCCACTATGGTCTTCACTTGCTCCTCTATGTCATATATCTTTTTCAGGAGTTTTAGTATAACTCTTATAGCAAATAAACCTAGTTCAGGTCAAATGGGCTGGATGGTAGAGCAACGGTTTCGCTTCATGCAGGTCGGCGTTCAATCCACGACCTTCTGAGTGGTTGGGGCACCATCCCTTTCCCTTCGTCCCATCCCAAGTTTTTATCCTGATCCCTTCCAAGTGCTATGTAATCGTAATGGCTTGGTGCTTTATCCTGATAGTTCCCTTCCCTTCAGGGCAAAAAGTAGGTGCTAAGCCAATATATGACTATGTAGCACATACAAGGGATATAAGGAAAGGGATCAGATATAGGACGGAGGGAAGGAATGGTGCCCAACCATTTGGACCGTCGGGGAATCGAACTCAAACCTGCAAGATTAAGCTAGACCGTCGCTCTACCCTCCAGTCCAAATATCAGGCCCAAAAGATCGTCTACCATATGTTCTTGACATGTAAAAAAAAAGTTATCCCTGTTATAAAAAATCATAAAAAAAGATTGATGCTAGTTCTGCTCCAGCCAATAAAAAAAACCTCCAAATGACATGCAAACTAAGCTGTAGCGCAGTTCCTCGTTCACTGACACGGTTCCACAGGTTCCTTAGGAGCATCGAGCAGCGACGTCTGCTCACAGATGGACCACAGAGATTCGCCACCGTTATCTATAAAGTAGCCAGTGTCGGAGTGCAGAGCCAAGTGGTTCCTTGTGTCGTCAACGTGAGGACTATTTGGAGTCCAGTAGGGGACTCCGCTTGGCACCGTGTCACCATTGACCCATTTCCAACTGCCTTCCTGAGTGGTGTCTGTGCCACCAATCCAGAGCGAGACACGTTCTCCATCTATGAATGATTAGAACATGTAAATACAGGAATGGGGAAAATAAATCAGGGTTAATAATGAAACTGGGCATTGAAAATAATGTTTAAATATGATTGGCAATAAGAAAAATGGACCAGTAACCGGGATTGGTTAATAAAAAACATTATTAAAACAGGAATGGGTCAATGAAAACAAATGTGAACGAATTAACGAACGAATTTAGGGAACAAAAAGAGAGCTCACAATACAGCACGAACGAACGAGGAACAGAAAGAGAGCTCACAATACAGCACGAACGAACGAGGAACAGAAAGACCTCACAATACAGCACGAACGAACGAGGAACAGAAAGAGAGCTCACAATACAGCACGAACGAACGAGGGAACAGAAAGACCTCACAATACAGCACGAACGAACGAGGGAACAGAAAGAGAGCTCACAATACAGCACGAACGAACGAGGGAACAGAAAGACCTCACAATACAGCACGAACGAACGAGGAACATAAAGAGAACTCACATTCAATGAGGACGTGCTCCCAGATGGCGCCGAGCTGATCACAAGAATGCACTACTGCCAAATCAGTGCTGTATCCTTCACTCACAAGACTCCTGCAGTAATCCCTGGCGTCCTCCCTGAGAGAGAGAGAGAGACGTTGAACACGACGGATTTAATAAACACCGTCAAACAACGTTTCCTTTCGTCAGATTGTTTTCTTTAGCAGTAAATAGGAAACTTTGATTTAGTCAGCTGTTGTGGGATGCCCCTTAGGGATAGTCTATTGTTGCCTTCGTTGATGTGATAGAGGATAGGGGGAAAATAGGTCGGGAGTCAGTACATTAGGCAACTGATTCTTTCAAGGCGGGGCCCAAGAGCTAACTATTCGATCATGGAGGCAAAAATAGGTAAATACAAACAGGTTTGGGTGTGTGCGCGTTTTATATTTGTAGTTACAGTTTGTGCCTATGTATCGAGTTGTTAGCGCTTGGACCCCGCCTTTCTAACCAATCTATTTATCCTCTATATCTACTACATTTTTTTCTCTCTAACACACGCCAACGCACATACACACACACTAACACATCCCCAGGAAGCAGCCCGTAGCAGCTGTCAAACTCCTAGGTACCTATTTAAAGCTAGGTGAATAAGTGCATTAGGGTGAAAGAAACTGCCTATCTGTTTCCACCTCGGCCGGGAATCGAACCCAGGCCCTTGGGCCTACAACCGATGTGCCCTGTCCACTCAGCGTGAGGCTCACTGTGTGTGTTTGTGTGTACTTACCTAATTTACCTAATAGTGCTTGCGGGGGGGTTGAGCTCTGGATCTTTGGTCCCTCCTCTCAACTATCAATCAACTAATGTACAGGTTTCTGAGCCTACTGGGCTCTATCATATCTACACTTCTGTGTGTGTGTGTGTGTGTGTATACTCACCTAGTTGTACTTAAGGTGATTGAGCTTTGGCTCTTTAGTCCTTTGGTGTGTCTATGTGTGTGTGTTTATGTGTGCGTGTGCGGGTCGCAAAACAAGATACACAAATCCTCTTAACTCACCACAACATGAGAGTCTGCTCGAAGTAGTAGCATCCTCCGCCCACGAGGGTAAAGGGAGCAGTGCAGGCTGTAGGGGGAAAGGAATCAAGGAAAGAGTTCGAATCCTTAAATTCATAATATTAAGAACTATCAACATCAACAGATCCTAACATGATTAAAAAAAATCATTAGCCTCAGCAATTGATTTTTATTTTGTTTCTTAAAACTTATGGAATTCAGTATGGTAATGAGATATTTACAGTGGATGCGTTGATGGATAATATAATTGTGACTCATGTTTGTAAATTCTTTCTCGTGAGGTCACGTAAACAAAACAAGCAACGAAATGAAATATTACAGATTTATTAGTTTTAACACAATACAATTTTATGTAACACCAATTTTTACACCAATTTTACACAATTTTTAACACCAATGCAATTTCATGTAACCTTTGTAAGGTTACATGAAAGAAAGTGATTGCTATATTAACTTTGGTTACTTGATCACATTATGAAACCCGGCGTCTGGCCATCCGGCTCCCAACACCTACCTGACGCAGACGCCAACGATAACATAATCATCGCCACAATATAACACAAGCGAGCCATGCTGAAGTCGGTGGAGGCAGCAGTGACCAGCCTTCAGCGCTGGTGGAGGTTATATACCCAATGATAACCAACGATATCTTAAGCATGTTTTTCCTTAACCAGGCTCCATGAGAGTGGACCAGGGTGATATAATCACCAGGGTGAGGCCTTGACTGATGGGAAAAAACATTACTGTCCTCTCTGATTATCAACAATTATCACTACAAACTCAAACACACGCTTGCTGTAGCTTCGCGGCGTGTTTGACTAGATAAGTATATTTAGAGATATTAGAGTGAAAAGAGGTAAGAAGTGCAATAACACAAGGGGGATGGAAATAGGGGCAATTTTACGTATATATAATCGAACTGACAAATTAAATTGGCTCCTGCAAATGACTAACAAACTTTAATCTGGCCAAATGAAAAGTTATGTGGATAGGAACACGAATAAAATTTACTTGTACCGCAGTGTAGAATGAAGCAGACATCACAGATTCCAGAAAGAAAATCACACAGTAGGAGAATAACATCATCGGCAGATGCCAAACTGGAAAAGGACTGTGAAGCCAGTAGAAATTCCAAAATGATTTACAACCGTTGTCTCGTGATAGCAGTTAAGTTATCGATGGGCAATGGCAATTCAGTGCCATGCAGAGTGCCTGACGTCAGTAAAGAAGCTCTAAAGTAAAAGGAGCTTCATCAATATATGTTAATAAGTAAACATATATGCAAACGCTTTTTCACTAATCTGGAAAATGTATACGCAGTCTTGCGACTCTCGTTCCTTTGTTTAATTGTTAAAACTTTCTAAAAATTTAGTTTTTAAACCTTCGATAGGTCCTTTCCTAGTGGCCACCGTCTGCCTTCATTTATTGCTGCAAATTTATAGCATTTTATAGTAAGGTGTAACTCATTTGTTGTTGTCTTAAGGGGCAAGCCATCCTCTTCTCATTCTTAGCAATTCTTCTGTAATCAAAGAATCTATGTCATGAAGTGGGTCTCCCATCAATTTTACATCATTGTCTGCAAATATTGATTAAATTTACACTTTTTAGTCTCCCAGGTTCGTTATGTACATAGGGAGAAGATTGGGTCCAAGTACCTATCCCTCAGATACACCAGTTGTTACATCTCGTCACTTTGAGTTCTCTTTTCTCACCATTACTCTCTATTTCCTCTCCAAGAGGTATTCCACCCTACCTTTTATAGCACTCGTGCGGTTTTGTATTAGCGGGATAGTATCAATGGTTAATTAGCAATCGTATATATGTGGTTGTTACTGTCTATGTGGTAATATTTAGCGCCAGTTAGTCTACCAACAATCATGCTTACTTCTAAGTCACCGACGGTGGGAACACCTCCAGGTGGCCAGCTTTGGGACGTCATACTCTTCGAAATTTATTAAAAAGTATATCTTATTTACACAAATAATTTATCTGGCTCTCTTGGTTCACACGAGGACTGGCGGTGCCTCAGTCCATGTTATCATCGCCCACTGTAAGAATAGCATAGTATCCCCTCCTTTATCGTCGGCGTCAGTGGGTATATAACCTCCACCAGCGCTGAAGGCTGGTCACTGCTGCCTCCACCGCCTTCAGCATGGCGCGCTTGTGTTATATTGTGGCGATGATTATGTTACCGTTGGCGTCTGCGTCAGGTAGGTGTTGGGAGCCGGATGGCCAGACGCCGGGTTGCTATAGTGATCAATATCAAACTGAATTTTAAACGAGCTTTCTAAATAGTGAGAAAAAGGTATCATGTAATCATGCAAATATTGAGAGAGTGCAACATTACCTTTTCCCCAAACCTTAATTACCAGCAAAATTTATATCTACTGGAAAAAAATACCATGCAAAATTTGTAACAGAATCTGAATAGTTTATTTATGAAGTTTAGATAATTCTTTACCTTCCTAAGAAAGTCAATTTGAGCTGTCGAACCTTTTGTGCATGTTTGTTTCTCGCAGGTTGCAACGATCCCTTCATCCCTATCAAAGGCAACTGCTTCTACGTCCACGACACGGACATGAACTGGTGAGCCCTATGTATGTATACACACACACACACACACACACACACACACACACACACACACACACATGAGGCTGACTCCATACACAGTTTCAAGTGTAGATATGATAGAGCCCAATAGGCTCAGGAACTGTACACCTGTTGATTGACAGTTGAGAGGCGGGACCAAAGAGCCAGAGCTCAACCCCCGCAAGCACAACTAGGTGAGTACATATATATATATATATATATATATATATATATATATATATATATATATATATATATATATATATATATATATATATATATATATATATATATATGAATTCATATAAAAAATATATGAAATAACCTTGAGTTCCATCGATTACGTGTTGGAGGCGTTTTCATCTGAGTTACATGCAAGTCTATTCACAGGCATGATGCCAGGGACTACTGCTTGAGCCTGAGCACTGACGAATACTATTCAGATCTGGCACAAGTGCACTCCTGTAGCCAGCTGGGCGCTCTTTGGCAACACATTACCCTGGAGTGTAAGAACCCAATTCTCATAATTTGTCCTCGAGTTTAAGCTTTATGTTACTGGTGGCATTTATTTGTTTATTTGTTCTTTTTATTCTTTACTCACGTGTTTCTGCGTTCGTTAATTTGTTTATCAAATCATCCCATTATTACTTTTCTTATAATTTTATTCCATTATTCATAAAGCAACTACAGTGGACTGTAAACATTACCGCGTGCTCCAAATGTAAGAAAACTCTATTGAAACGAAACCTTCAACTTCAGACATCATAGGAGTCATTAGCTATTGTAATAGGAATTCATCCTACTTAAAAAGGGGTATGTGGGTCGCTCCCAGACCCACTTCGCTCTATGACACTCCATTAACCATCACAAATCATCATGAAAAGGTGCGTGAGGCTAGCCAGGAGCGTCTGACTTCCAACCTCGAAAAGGCAGAGAGACAGATATACAGAAACACAGACATATAGAAATTTTATAGATATACTGGATAGTATACCCTGCTGATCCTGGGTCATTAGGAAGAGTGGAGATGGGTAGAAAGAGAGGTGGGGGGGGGAGAAGGGAGGAGAGAGGGAAGGAGAGAGGAGGAAAGGGGGAGAGAGAGGCTATCTTCTCTATCTAGTCTATATCTATATCAATATTAGAGAATATCTGTTTGTGTGTGTGGTTATCTGTCCGACGCTGGAAACGAGACGCCTGCTGTTAGCCTTACGCAACTTTGCCACATGAAGCATGTTGGGAAGGGGAGTGTCATAGGCTAGTCGAGGTCAAGCTACAATGACACACGACACACAGTGACAAGTTATATATATATATATATATACATATATATATATATATATATATATATATATATATATATATATATATATATATATATATATATATACATATATAATATAATATAATATAATATAATATAATATTACTGGTAATACCATTTCATTCACAGATGGATTTAAATGGCACTGGATTGGTGGTAATGACATTGCAACAGAAGGCAGTTGGCACTGGGTCACTGGTGACACTGTGCAAAGAGGCAATCCCTACTGGTACCCAGGACACCCCAATGTTAACCACACGACGAATTGCTTGCTCCTGCAAATGTACTCTGGATTCCTTATGGACTGGACTTGTGAAATAGCTGGACGTTTCGTATGTGAACAGACCACACTGTTCTAAACCGCCCTAAACCTCAGCCGAAAAGAAGAATCATTTGCCCATGAATTGATATAATTTACTCTCAGTTTGATTAAGGACGAAACAGTGTAAAGGTTTGATAGTATTCGATCTGTTTAAACAATTGATTATCCTGTTGCCACCTCACCAACAAGAGTTGCTAATCATGTGGACTTATGATATCTCTTAATGCATCGACTGGTGCAATTGTTTTGTTAAATATTACTGGTCGTTTCAGGTATCAATGATGGTTTAGTTAGATACAACTTAACCATGCAGGATTTTTACAGAAATGATTAACTCTTGATTATCAAAGTAATAATACCCTTCATTATCGTTAATCACTTTTAACTCACCATACTGAATGTTAAAAATAATCCGATTATGAAACTCAGTAAAATAAATAAAACTAATAAAATCCCAGATGAAATAGTTTATTGTCACCAAAAGCTCAACTTTTCAACAAGATAATTTAATTTAACCCAAATTTGTTTTAACCCACAACAGATTAATGATTACTTTTAACGACTAATAATCCTTTGACAACCACCGAGCTTATAATAGCTGACACTCAACCAAGCTTCCCCCACAACAAACTAGTAGATCCATATTGGCTTTTCAGCAACCCAGAGGACATTAGGTGAGGAACATTTCCATCGGAAAATTCTCTCCCACCTTCCACGAGAAAAATTTTCACTTAGTAAAAGAATTTCCTCAGGCTATATTGATATGCATCTTTGCAACAATAAGACGATAACAAAATATAGCCGATTACAATATATTTTTATATCAGTCTTATTATTTTGACACTGACTATCATTTCAAAACAAAATTCCCATGGCTTGATTATAATTAAAAACTTTGTTTTAATTAATTGATTGGCAAAGCAGAACAAATATAAATCCCTATCAGGTAAAATTTAGTGATGGAGGCTACCTCGGCTTACCAGAGAGGCAATTAGGGAAATGAATACTTGTACAAATGCCATATATAATTGTGTTGGAAATTGTCTTCCAAAACAATTTTACGAGGAGGCCTGGTCGTGGACCGGGCCGCGGGGTCGTTGAACCCCGACATCATCACAAGGTGTGCTCTACAAATTTTGAAAAATTGAAATCAATATTTAAAAAGTAAAGCATTATTGCATCTCAAAACAAAATTTTAATAAAAACCCTACTGCTGCCTGGCTTGAATAATAAGTTGTAATAGTAAGTTATCTTGTAGAAGAAAACTTACTTCTTTAACTTTAAGAAGTAAGTAACTTTAACTTACTTCTTCAGCGTATCTTCTTTAACATGTAACAAATTTCGAGTTTTCGTTTAGATGTTCTGTTATGCCCCTGTTACATCAAAGGGTCACATAACTCGCTCTTTTAAACCTGAGGG